GCGCTGGACCTGAGCTCCTCGACCGCCGCGCCAGCGTCGCCCGGGCGCTCGCCTGGGCCGAGGGCGCGGCCGTTGCCGCTGCACGCTAGGTTGCCCATCAGAGGGGCGCCGCGCGTGAAGAAATCTATACATTCGGCGTCGTGCCAAGCTGACTCGCGCGCCAGTTCCCGCACGAGCGGGATATTGACCCCCGCGACAAGCAGGCCGAAGTGAGGCGGCGCTGCCCTGCGCTCGGCCTCGGCGGCCCCAGAGGCTTCGAATTGTGCTGCCATGACCTCGATGCGTCGAACGCGCTGCTCGCGTTCGCAGGTGCACTGGGCAAGGCTGCGCTCGGCGCTCCACTGAATTGCTTCCAAACAATCCTGGCGCACGCGCGCGCTTGGGTTGCGCGTCGCGAAGGAGCAGCGCCTCGCGGGTGAAACGCAACGCCTCGATATCATCGGGCGTTAATTCGCTGCGCTTAGCTGGCGAGCACGACGCGGCTTGCGCACGCGGCGAGGGGCTCAGATCCGACAAGACTGTGCGATCGCGCGCCGCCTCTGGCTGAATCTTCACTGGCGCCGCAGGGGGCCGCTCCGGGTGCGCGGGTGGCCCGTCAGCCCCGCAGTCCGGGGCGCGGTCGGGCCCTCACGACCCCGTCTTCTGGCGCTTGTATGGAGGCGTCGTAGGCGCCTGCGAACCGCTGGCGGCGCTCCCGGACGAGTAGCCCTTGTGCTCTTTGCCGTAGCCCTTGTCCCCTTTGCTGTGGCCCTTGGCCTTGGCGCTCTTCGCGCGGCAGTCGCTGCCGCCCTTGTGGCCCCGGGCGCCGCCCTTGCCTTTGCCCTTGGGCTGCGACGGGGCCGAATCCTGCAAGACGGGCAGCCCGCGGGCGAGGTACTCGCGCTCTGTCCTGAGCATGATGGACGAGTCCTGGGACAGCGCGGCCTCGGCGGCGTCAAAGCTGTCCTGGCCTGCAGCCAGGTCGGCCCACTGGCGCCTGGCGAGCTCGTCGTAAAGCACGGCGATCGCGGCTGTGCGCTGATTGGGCCGCGCCGACAAGGCGAGCTGCATCGCGACTTCCTTATGTGCCATGGAAGCCGCGCACGCCATTTGGCCGGTGAGCTCCGCGACGATCGCCCACCTGTCGAAGGCGACGCACCACTGCAAGATGCTCGGCAGGTCGCCCTGCTTCCTGTCGGGATCTCTCGCCCGGCAGATGCCGCGGGCGATCTCCTCCGCGAAGGGCCGCTCTTCGGCGCGCTCCTCGGCCGCACTGGGCTGCCTTTTGTCCGTCGCGTAATGCGGAAGGAACTTCTTGAGCGGCAGATAAAGGAAATGCCTCTGGATGCCTCTTCCCTCCGCGGCCTTCACCTGACTCTGCACCCAGTCGGTGAGCTGGGGAGACGGCCAGCACGATGCCGCCAATTCAGCCAGTGACACTCTGCCCAGCCCCGCGGCGATATTCACGTGGGCGGCGGGCTTGCGGCCGCCCTGGAGCGCCTGCAGGAAGGCGCTCGCGGAATCCTGGGAGCTGCCAGCTGCAGCCGCCTCGGCCGTCGCCTGCTGCGCGGCCGCCTGGGTCGCCTTGGTGACGGCGCGCTCCAAGAAGGCCACCTGGCCCTCGATCAGGTCCTTTAGATCGAACGTCGCCGCTCTGATATCGAGCTTGACCGTGTCCTCAGGGCATTCGATCCCGTTGGTCGCATGCACCTCGACCACCGGCCGCAGCCAAGTCCGGTCGCGCTCTGCGTGGCTGTCGACGCCAGACTCGAGGAAGGTCAGCAACGCTGCGCTGGACATGGCAGTGACGGCGCGAGCTGAACAGCAGATGTGCTTGTCGCGAAGCCCGAAAAAGAATCCGCCTGAGCGAGACGGCCACGGAATACGGAGATCGCCCGGGGCGCCCCCGAGACACGCGCACGCGCGCGCGCAAGGCACGGGGCGAGGAGAACGCGCGAGCACCGACACCAGCCCAACTTTGGGGCTACACACACGTGCTGTCACGGTAGGGCAGAAGCACGCGCGCCAGACGCGAGGGCGCTAGCAGGTAACTTACTGGCGCGGGACGCCAGCGTGCGGGTGCGTACGCGGCACCGTTGGGGTCACCCACGAGCGAGTGGCCCAACTCCAGGTCGCCCTTGTGCGGGTCGCCTGCCAAGTGCGACTGTTGCGCACCTGGGTCGCCCAAATTGGGTCGCCCACGTGCTGGTGCATTTGTAGCACCGTTGGGACTCCCTAGTTCGGGGTAGCACCGTTGGGACTCCCTAGCAACTACAGGTCGCCCTTGTTCGGGTCGCCTGTATGTAGCGCATTGGTCGCGCTGTTGGGTCGCCCTAGTTCGGGTCGCCCAGATGACGGTGCGTTTGTAGCACCGTTGGGACTCCCTAGTGCGGGTAGCCCAACAACAGGTCGCCCTAGTTCGGGTCGCCTGTATGTGGCGCATTGGTCGCGCTGCTGGCTCGCCCTAGTTCGGGTCGCCCAGACTGTGGTGCGTTTGTAGCACCGTTGGGACTCCCTAGTTCGGGTAGCCCAACTACAGGTCGCCCTTGTTCGGGTCGCCAGTATGTAGCGCATTGGTCGCGCAGCTGGGTCGCCCTAGTTCGTATCGCCCAGATGAAGGTGCGTTTGTAGCACCGGTTGGGTTGCCCTGGTGTGGGTACCTGCAAGCCGTGTCGCCCCCGTGTGGGGCGCATGTGCCCGTGCGCCAGGAGCGCCACGTAGCCAACGCGCGGAATCCACCGCGCTAACGGCGCCCACAGGCGGGATGCAACAGCCGGAACTGGCCGGCGCGCGGCCAAGCCGCCCAGGCGTAGGGCGCGTCCTGCGGAGAAAACACACCCACGCACCAGCACCCACGGCGAGCACGCGCACCACGCGCGCGAAGCGAGGAAAGCAGGCGGAACGCGCGGCAGAGCACGCCGAACCGCCCGGAAGGCGGCACGCAGCCAGACAAAGGACGACAGGACACGACGACGAGCGAGCGGGGGCGGCGCCGACCCAGGACACCGCGCCTAGCGCGGAAAACGAGCCGAGACCAGCGACGGCGTCGAGGAGCGGAAAACACCGCGCCCAGCGGCCGAACGAGCCCCAAGGAGAAGCACGCGCAGGCCCCCAGGACCCAACCCACGCGGCGGCGGCGACGGCGGCAGCGAAGACGGCGCGGCAGCGACGGCGGCAAACCAGCAGAGGCAGGCAGCACGACGACACGGCCACGACAGGGGCGGCCCAGACGAACGGCGCGACGGCGACCGCGACGCGACGACGACCCCGCCCACGACGGGCGCCCGAGCACGACGACGAGCAGGCAGGGGCGGCGCGAACCAAGACCCCCGCCCCAAGCGCAGAAAAAACGAGCCGAGACCAGCCGAGGCGACAAGGAGCGGAGACAACCGCGCCCAACAGCCGACCGAGCCCCGAGGAAAAGCAAGCGCCCGCCCCCAGGACCCGACCAACGCCGCGGCGGCGGCGGCAGAACGGCCGACGGGCCCGCGCCGCGGGCGCGCGCCCCGCGCGCGCGGCGCGAAACAATCAAATCAACACCTGCGAAGCAGACGGCGCCAGGGCGCGCCGCGACCCGCCCCGGCGCAATCCCCGTGGCGCGCCTGCGCGAGCCCCCGCGGCGCGCCCGCGCAAGCCAACACAGAAGCAACAACCCCCGAGCGCGGGCGGCGCGCCCTGCGGTCAGGCAGCATGCGTCGCGCGTCGCACGCGCCGAGGCGCCGCGGGGCCCGTCGGCCGACCTTCGATTTGTGCCCGCGCAGCACCCTGCGGGTGTGCGCTCCCCACATACTCCTCCTCCTCTTCCTCCTCCTCCTCCTCCTCCTCCTCCTCCCCTCCTGTCCCTCCTCCACCTTCCTCCCTCCTCCTTCCACCTCCTCCTTCTCCCCTCCCTCCCTCCTCCCTCCTCCTCCTCCTCCTCCCCTCCTCCTCCTCCTCTCCTCCTCCTCCTCCTCCTCCTCCTCCTCCCTCCTCCTCCTCCTCCCTCCTCCTCCTCCTCCCCCCCTCCTCCTCCTCCTCCTTCCTCTTCCACACCACCACCACCACCACCACCACACCACCACCACCACCAACCACCTTCCTCCTCCCATCCTCCTCCCTCCTCCTCCATCCTCCGACTCCTCCCCCTCCTCCTCCTCCTCCTCCTCCTCCTCCTCCTCCTCTCCTCCTCCTCCTCCTCCTCTCCTCCTCCTCCTTCACCACCTTCCTCCTCCTCCTCCTCCTCCTCCTCCTCCTTCGTCCTCCTCCTCCTCCGCCGCCTCCTCGTATTATTAGTTGTCTCCTTCTTACTATGACTAGCATATGTTGTTTAGCATGATTACTCTTCTTATAAGTATCAATTTCATCCGTGATCTTGAGTTGTCTCATTGATCTCCGGATTTATTCGAGTGTTAATGTTCTCTGTAGTCGTATACGTGGTAATGCAATTAGTCGTAACAATATTCGATTTCCCCGTCTTCGAATAGTTTGCTGATAACGTGATTAAGAGTTCCGTATTGCTGTTCCTCCTCCTCCGTCTCAGTCTCCTCCTCCTCATACTTCTCCTCATACTCCTCCTCCTCCTCCTCCTCCTCCTCCTCCTCCTCCTCCTCCTCCTCCTCCTCCCTCTTCCTCCCTCCTCTCCTCCTCCTCCTCCTCCTCCTCTCCTCCTCCTCCCTCCTCCTCCTCTCTCTCTCCTCCTCCTCCTCCTCCTCCTGCTCCTCGTCCTCCTCCTCATTCCTCCTCCTCCCTCCTCCTCGTCCTCCTCCTCCCCCTCCTCCTCCTCCTCCTTCGATTCCTCCGACTCCTCCTCACATCCATCTCCGCCTCCCCCTCCTTCCTCCTCATCCTTCCTCCTCATTCTTCCTCCTCCCCCTCCCCCTCCTCCTCCTCCTCCTCCTCCCCCTCTCTCCCTCCTCCCCTCTCCTCCTCCTCACCTCCACCACCACCGTCCTCCTCCGCCCTCATCCCTCCCTCCTTCTCCTCCTCCTCCTCCTCCTCCTCCTCCTCCTCCGCCCTCATCCTTCCCTCCTCCCCTGGAGCGCCTTCACCTCGTCGGAGCACCCGCCCCTGCGCGCGAGGTAGATCAGGGGCGTCTGCGAGCAAGGCGGCGGCGGCGGGATGCGCGCAGGGAGCCGCACGGGAGGCGCCGCCCGCCCCCGCGCGGCACGGCAGGCTCTCGGGCATCGACGCGCCCAGGTCGATGCGGTCGGAGCCCGACCACGAGAAACCGTCCGCGAGAAGCCCAACCCTCCAGGGCACCCTGGAGGCAAGCAGGGTGCTCCTTGGCGTGGGCCCTCACTGTACAAGCCCCGGCCAGCCAGGCGTTGCAAGAGCCCGCCAGATCCTGCAGGATCCTGCAGCATCCAGCGCGCAAGCTCGGGCCAATGCAGCCCTGGTCTCCTGCGGGGCCCTTCCAACATCCGGCGCTGACGCTGGAGGTCTGGAGGCCGTCTCGGGGGAAACGAACCCCCTGAACCTCTCCACGGGCCACAGCGTCGAGGCGGACCGAGGCCAGAGTGTCGAGGCGGACCCAGTCGTGGCGCCCCCCTGCAGGGAGGCCCCACAAAGGAGAGCGTCGACCCTCGAGCGCCGATCCTCGACGCCTCCAGAGATCTCTGGAGGGATCCGCGGAAGCATAACGGGGGCTCGAACAGTGCCAAAGACGTCAACACACCCTGATCCTCGACCGTTGGTGGTCCTCACATCCGGGTGGTGGGAGCCCCTTCTTTGAGCAGGGACCGACCGTCCCGGCATTCCTATAGTCCTACCACGAAATGTCATTGAACCCAACAGTGTTCTAAGAGCAAAAACAATGTTCTTGGAACATATTCCCGATCTGTTAAAACAAGACAGTCCAAGCCAGAAATGTTCTAAGAACATTTCCTGGAAACCACAAAAAGGTTCCTGGAAGCCACAAAAGCGTGCGTGCATTGCCGCGGTGCCGCTGCCGTGCTCAGCCCTGCTGAGAGGCGTCCGTCGACTCGGGTGCCCATGCATCGCTCTGGGCCTCCTCCCCTGACCTTCTCGGGATGGCTGACAAATTAGCACCAAAGCCTTCGAGATGAACAGGCAAGGTCATTGGGCAGTCCTGACCTTAATGGGCCCTGGAAACAACAGGGCCGTTTTTTTACCGGTTCCGTTCTGCCATCTGTTTGCCGGTTTCGACGCCGTTTTTTTACCGGTTCCGTCGCCGTTCTTTCACGGGTTCCCGCTCCAGTTCCAATCCTGGAGCCGCCTTTGTTGCCGTTTCCGGTCGCCGTTTTTGTTGCCGTTTCAATTTTCAAGGGACGCTTTTTCGGAACCGGTGAAAAAAGGCCCTGCAGGTCTGGACAGGCCATCCTCGTTCACCGACCCCGGTCCCCAGCAGTAGGACAGAGCAGGGGGGGCGCGCGCGTTCAAAGCCTCGATCCTGTTCATCCTCCGCCTCCAGCCACTCCTCCCTCGTCCTAGTCCATGTCGTGGTCGTCGTCCTCTTCCTCCTCCTCCTGCAACATCCTACTCTACTCCCCCCCATCATCCTGGCTCGGCTGCCAGACGCTAGGTGCCTCACCAATGGCATGTGCCCGGCCAACGCCGTGAAACTAGCTTCACAGTGCATCGCTGTGCCCGGCCAACGCACAGATTGACTCTGATCATATGCTTCATTCCCTGCACTTGCTCGAGATGGCCGATCACTCCCAACATGAGGGAAGTGCGTTCTGGAATCGCGGTCCTCCTCACTCATCTGCTGCTGACGCTTCCCTGCCAGCCCCAAGTGACGTTCGGCAAGCTTGGGGAATGTTATGTGTTATGTGGGGAAGGACGTGTGCGGGAGGCGATGGTGGCCTTGACGGGTCTGGGGGGCACTGAGCTAAACACTGGAGGAACAGAAGATGTGGTTGGGCACCGGTTCCCCTGGATGGGGCCAGTGCGGATGCAGATCTAGGTCCTGACGCCATGCGGTTAGGAACCCTGCCGACGGATTCCCAGTCGAGTCCCAGGGCCGAGCGTGTCGCGCTGATCATGCTTCTGCCTTCCACAGGTAGTCATGTCGTTGCAGATGCTGGTCACTGGCCGCTGGCTCGGGGCTTCAGGAGGGATAGGTCTCACATTAAGTCGGGCCTGTCCCCCTACAGGGGGATTTTCGACGAACAATACAAAATACTCAAAAAATATCCCAAAATGATCAACAAATACTCCAAAAATAGTCCCCAGACAATTTTCTGACTATTTTTGAATATCCCCCCTGTAGAGGGACAGGCCCGACTTAAGGCTGGACCTCTGGCTCAGGAGCTGGAGCCTCCCGGTCTTGCGCAAGAAAGGCGCGGGGAGATGCTACCCATGCAACGGCTTCGACCCGTGGCTTCTCAGGCATCTCGGAGCCTGTGTTAAGTCGGGCCTGTCCCTCTACAGGCGGAATATTCAAAAATAGGTCGAAAAAATATGGGGACTATTTTTTGAGTATGTTTGACCATGTTGGAACATGTTTTGAATATATTTATTGTTCGTCAAAAAATCCCCCTGTAGGGGGACACGCCCGACTTAAAGCCTGTGTTTTTCCTGCGTGCTCGTGCCGATGATCTTCCTGGGCAGGCCGCCGCCATAGCTGAGACTCCCCACGAGCCTCTACCTGTTCTCCCGTACCTCCCTGCCAAAACGAAAAACCACCGAAGTCCAGATAAACAGCGTATGGGTCCAGCCCTGTCGTAAAGTTGCCCTGCACTGCAAGCGTCTTGTCCAGGACAGGGTGGGGCGACCCCCTCCCCGCCCAAAAGGCGTTGGCAGCGGCTCGAAGCTCTTGGTCACTCGGTCAGCATGCTGGGCAACAGGTTTGTAAGTGCATGTTGTGCCGTCGCCGCCTCGAAGCGACGCGTGGCCAAGTTCGAGATTTGTTTGTGAGCGCTTTCTTATTCGGCGTTTTGACATTGAGCGAAAAGGGGAGGGAGGGGGGGGGTCTGGCTCCGGACCTCTGCTTGATACGACCGTTTGCATCGCTGCGTCCTGTTCGCAACGCTACTCCCGCGTCGATCGGCAAAACAATGAAGAAGACAACGATCACCTTCGAGGCGACGCGTGGCAAATGTCAAGAGTAGTGTCCTAGTCGGTGCTTGAGGGCGCGAGAGGTAAGACCCTCGTGAAGGAGCGAAGCCGTAATCGCGCACCCCAAGGTCCCTCGGGCGCACTCCTCCCACGACCCTTGATGTGTTGCGCGGCGTCCTGTATTGCTCGGAGCTCCCTGCTCCTTATTAAGGCGTGCCCGCCCGGTGGCACACACACACACACACACACACACACACGCACACACAAACACACAAACACACGCACACACACAGGCAGGCGCCATTGTTGTATCGCACCTCTTCCGAGACCTTATGCCAACGTGCGGCATGCCTTTTCCCAAGCAGTGCTGTGAGTACCGCTCAGGTCCCTCATGAGCACAGCGGGCCGCCGTGCTGAGGCTGACTGCTGTGATGCCAGCGCCCGCCAGAGGAGCCTCTGGCGCACCGGTCCTCTGGCCGTTCGGCCAGGCAGGTCTCTGGCGCCGATCCCACATCCGCTCGGCCGCGGAGGCCTCCGGCACCCAGCATCCGTGCGTTCCACCGGGCAGGTCTGCAGACTGTCCGCCCAGGTGCGGCATGGCTTCGCCTGAGCAGTGATTTGCATCGCCGCTCCTTGCCGTCGCTCGGACGTCCACGTCCCGTGCGGCTGCCGTTTTCGCGCGAGCTCTTCCGGCTCGATGATCCAAGACGCTCCTCGATGGCCCTCGCCGAGGAAAAATGCACACGCCCGAGCGATGCCAAGGCCCAGGTCCATCACGAGTGCAGCGGCCCGCTGTGCCGAGGCCGACTGCTGTGTATTGCAGGCGCCCTGGCCAGACGAGGTCCCCGCCGCCCGCCCAACTGGCGCCCCCCTCCTCGGCGTCCTCTTCGGCCTCCTCACGACCGACCTCCGGGCCTCTCCTCTGGAGCACGTTCTGCTCATGATTCCGAGGCGGAGGTAGCCACGGAGACAAGGGCCCTCCGGGGGGGCCGAAGCACAGACCATCCTCGTCCGTATCCCCCTCCCCCTCCTCGGTCGGAGCTGACAAGGAAGCCGAGGTCGCTGCCTTGTCAGGAGCGCGAACCATCAAGAATAAGACGAGAAAAAACGAAAGAGAGCAGCAGCAGCAGCAGCAGCAGCAGCAGCAGCAGCAGCAGCAGACGTTTTCAATTCGCACATGTGGCTGCAAAGTTGCAGCAACTTCAAAGATGGAGGGCGGCCCGATTTCAAAAAGGAGCTCTCGCCTGAGCTCTGCGCACATTCGTGTAAAAGGCTTGCAATCCCTTTAACCACCGTGGGCGGTTCCGCTTAAAATGTGGCTCTCGCCTGAGCGCCGCGAACACTCGTGGTAAATAAAGGACACAGTTTCAAGGGCTTGTATGGTTGGAGTCCATGGGATGGCAGCCTGGAGCGATTTAGGACTATCAAGGCGCAACAAAAAATTGTAGTGATAATCCCAGAAACAGTATCCTAGGATTCTCAGGACGCAATGCCCGCATTGATTCACAGCGCTGAAGTCCCTGCAAAAAAGTTTGGAACGACTGAGGATTCTCAGACGGTTTCTTCCGATGGGGCACTTCCTGCGATGAAAAAAAGCTCTTGGAGGGACTTGCGAAAAGGGAACTTGTAGAAAGGGCTCTATCGTTGATGCTTCTTGCGTTTTCACTGGTCCTCCTCCTCGTCCTCCTCCTCCTCCTCCTCCTCCTCCTCCTCCTCTTTCGCCTTCTGTTGCCTGTTGCCTGTTGGCTGGACTGTCGCGCCGACGCAGCCCTCCCCCCCAGGGCCAGTTGGCCCTGGGGGGGTGATCAATCTAGGCAGCCAACTTGGCGTCACGCCAGCGACCGAATAGAATACCAAGTAAAAGATGGCGCGCACACACACCATGCGCGAGGAGAAGGAAGAGGAAAGACACACAAACATGCTTGTTTCTCTTTTTACCTTTCCTACCGTTCCCCCTCCCCTGGTTCGAGAAAACCCGTCCTGGCCCGTCGACCCCCTGCTCCTCCTCCTGCTCCTCCTGCTCCCCCTAGCGCCACGCTCGTCTTCTGCCAACACATGTTCCTCCTGCTCCTCCTCCTCCTCCTCCTCCTCCTCCTCCACCTCCTCCTCCTCCTCCTCCTCCTCCTCCTCCTCCTCCTCCTCCTCCTCCTCCTCCTCCTCCTCCTCCTCCTGCTCCTCCTCCTCCGCTCCTCCTCCTCCTCCTCCCTCCTCCTCCTCCTCCTCCTCCTCCTCCCTCCTCCTCCTCCTCCTCCTCCTCCTCCTCCTCCTCCTCCTCCCCGAGCCGAACACTTGCTGGCAGAACACGAGCGTGGCGCTGGGGGGGCCGGGCGCCCCGCGGCGCCTCCTTGTCCGTGCGCCGCCGCCTCGGCAGCGACGACGACGACGACGACGACGACGACGAGGACGACGACGACGCCGACGAAGACGTCAGCAACGACGACGACGATGACGACGACGACGACGACGACGAGGACGACGACGACGACGCCGACGAGGACGACGACGACGACGCCGACGAAGACGTCAGCAACGACGCGGACGCACAACCTCGCAAGCTGTTGCTCAGCAGCGTCGGCGCTCACGCGGCGGGCGCGGCATCCCCGTGGCAGAGGCCTTCCCTGCCGGCGGCCCCCCCGCCCTTGACTGGGGGCCCCGAGCGCGGTGTTCTGCTCGAGCGCGGTGAAAAAACACAGCGGGCGCCCTCCGCTCGCCCTCGCTCGGACGTACAGTTCCCGTGCATGTTTCGGTCTCGTGCGTGTTTGTTTTGCTCGAAGGTCCAGGATGGTCCTCAATGGTTCTCGCCGAGAAAAAATGCACACGTCCGAGCGATGCCAGGTCCGATGCCGTGGTGTGGCAGCAGCGAGATGAGCGGATGCTTTTGCCTTGAGCCAAATCGGCAAACGACAGTACTGTCTTCTCTAGCTGACCGCTGCGTCTGAAACGAACGAGTTCCCAAACTCGTTCTTATGACATGATCAACAGAAAAGATCATTAAGCTAAACCTATAATACCGAAATCAGGAAGCCTGTCACATGGGTCAAGCTTTCTCCTAGGTTTAGCTTCCCCGTACATAAAGCAGTAACTGTACACAGCAAGTCAGACACCCTGGAAGAACAGGATGGGCTAGGAAGGAGAGGGAGGAAGAGAGGTCGTCCCGGAGGCCAACCCCGAAGCCGACAGGGCTGAGACAAACTCCGCCCACGATACCAGACGGGAGTCGCCGTCGAGGGTCCTTCTCGAAGCAGCGTGGGATCGGTCCTTCGCACCTGGCTGCTCTTTGCGACGGGCCATCTCAGCACCCTCGTCTATTAGCACCAGCCTACCGTTGGCCAGCAGATTGGCCAAGGCGGCGTTGCTCTTGCTCACGTCGTCCTTCGTGAGCGTATCCACCGGCACCCTGCCGTGTGGCACCCATCGTACGTGGCCCCGGGCTCTCTCGAGGGTCTCACATACCCCCGCCAGATCCAGAGCTGTGCGCCTGTCTCGGGCGCTGGCATTGCCCTCCTTGAGCATCGTGTCGTAGATGCTTTTTGCGTCTACCACATGAACTTGATCCACTCGGCCGCCTAATCGACAGTCCCTCCTGAGAACTGTCGTGAAAGGTCCCGAACCCCTGGACGTGTCATTCACATCAACATCCCTGAAAACCACGTCCCGGTACAAAACCTGCAGAAATTCTACTTCTGCCACGGCGGCAGAGAGGGCCTGGGTTTCCCCGGCCAAGGTCGAAGAGACCTTCCTACGCAACTTGGAACTGCGCCATCCCAGCACGGAAGCCTTCACGGCGCAGTTATCCAGCACGCTCCTGTCCGTAGCAAGGATCATCCACGCGCCCTGGGTGGGGTCTTCGGGGAGACCCCTCTCGCCCACGAGTCCTTCGTTGGCTCCAACACCCCCGGCATCCGAGAAAGACACAAACGCCATACGGTCAGGGTCGAGCTTCCGAATGCTGAGGCCTCTGGAAGCCGTTGACCTCAAGTACCTCACCATTCGATTGGCAATGGTGACGTCACCCGTCGTAGCGTTCTTAAGCCTGCTAGCTAAGATGCTGGCCGCTCCGGCCGCCTCGGGTCGCGTCTCTCGCCCGACCCAATTAAGCTTATATATCAGAGAACGGAGGGACTTGAACTCAGCGGGAGTGAGAGGGGTTTTCTTTAGCCCGAGCCTCCCGCGCTCCATGCTCACTGGCCTGACCTCCTCTAGTATGTACTTCTCTTGATCGATGAGGGTCCGGTGGGGAGCAAACGACACACGCCTCCCGGCATACTCGACTGGCCCCTCGCGGCAGTCGCGGCACTTCCCGAATTTGAACCGGGACTCGAGCACCTGACGAACCCATGTGCGAGTCTCCCGAGAGCTGCTGGATATGAAGAAGTCATCCACCTCCAGAAGGATCATGTTCAGAATGGCCCCGTCAGGGCCGCATCTGATCCACCAGCACGGTTCGAGTAGGCTTCTCACGAAACCCTGTTTCTGCAGAAACCCGACCACGGTTTTCCTCCAAGCAAAGGGGGCATCGTCGAGCCCATACACGTTGACGAGTAAACGGATCAGGGACCCCTTCTCCACCCGGATCCCTTCGCAGGGTTCCACGTAAATCTCTCCTTGGGTCCTCTGCATCGGGTTCGATTGACAGAAGGCGTTTTTGACGTCGGCTATATCTCCTAAATGACCCAAGTTCATCATGACTTGGACGAACATGAGAATTGACGTGGTCTGAGGGGTGGGCGAATACACGAACAGCGACCCGGTGTCAGGGTCCTTGTGGCCATGGACGCACCATCTCGACTTGGCAGTGGGCTCGGCGAAGGTGCCTTCCACCGGCTTCCACCGACGCACCATTCGACTGGTAATTATCCGATCCGGACAGGTGCGCCTGACAGCCTCCGCCTCCTTGGGAGGTATTACTTCCACCGCTCCTGAGCCCATCATGTTCTGCCACTCCTTATCATCTGACATCTCGAACTTCGCTCTCTCCGCTGGACTGAGCTGTTTGATGGAAATCTCACCTCCACGGCTGGCCGCCAAGATCCCGTTGTCCCCGGAGCTCTCGACCCTTTCAACAAGCCCCAGGAAACACCCATCCTCGCTGGTCTCCACAAAATACGAAGTCCCGCCTTCAGCTTCGGTCCGGGCCTCAATCTCAGCCACCCGTCGTCCGACGAGCTCCCCCCTGGGCTTCGACTGGCTCCTCTCTCTACTGTCCCCGGCGGCGGCGGCGGCAGCGCCGGCAGCCGCAGCAGACGACGACGGAACCGAGTCGGCCTCTGCCGCCGTTGGCGGCTCCAGGCCCGGGGGAGGCTCCACTCGTGGCCGTTTGGCCTCGCTAACCTCTGGCGGGCAGCTGGCGGACCTAACGCCTGGCCCCTCGTCCCCCAGGGGTCTCCGAAAACAATGAGGAACGTCGCTCGGCTGCTCGAGCTTGGCCCTAGTTGGCCTAACCGGCACAATCGGAGGGGGCGATGGAGGAGGCAGCGACACGGGAGGAGGAGGTTCGACAGACGGAGGATCGACGGCTTCCCCGGGGATCCTTTCGTCGGGCCCCGGGATCGCTTGGAGATCTCCTTCGCCTGGAGGCGTGCCGATGCCTGATGACTCGCCTGGCTCCTCGACGCTTTCCGAGATCGAGGGAAGTCGTGTCCTCTCGGAACCCGCGTTGGCCACCGCTGACCCTCCCGCTGATGATGGTCTGGATCGAGGACCCCGTGTCCTGAGAAGAGGAGGCCCCGTACCGATGGGATCAAAACCACGACCCGCGGAGGGAGGGCCCACTGGGCCCACAGGCTCGGCCACCTCTGGCCTGACCCCGGGTCCCGCCAACTGAGGAGCAGAATCTGATCCCGGCGACAGAGGTTGATCCCAAGCCTCATCGGGAGGGGGGCCTTCTCGCTGCACGTCCACGGCCGACGCTCGTCTAGACTGTGCCTGGGCCATGAGCTCGGACCACTGTGGGTCTTGGGCTACTTGAATCCCGAACTCTTCCCCGGGACTGGCGTGCCGCACCTGTTCGGGAGAGCACTTCCATAGTCGGGCTATTACCGCCGCCCAGACCGTTCCCCTCTCGGCCAACACCACGACCCCGGGCCCCGTCCAAGCGTCTCGCCTGCGACCCAGCGTGTCCGCCCGCGACCCGGCCCGAGTGAGCCTGCGCCACACAAACACCCACTGGCCAGGACTGAAGGTGGTCTGGGACGGTCCCTTGGCCTTGCTGGCCTTGTGCATTTTGTCTCGAGCGGTGGTCTCCATGGCCAGACGGCGAGCGACATCTCGGACTCTCTGAGATCGGGCGAACTCCGCACCGGCCGAATCCTGTTCGGACGGTGGCCGCAAGCAGTCTTGCCATCCGGGAAGGCCCATGTGGTCATCCGACAAGATTTCGTGTGGCAGGCGTGGGTTCTCTCCGAAAACCAGCTGCATGGGCGAAAAGCCTCCCCGGTGCCAAAACCTGTTTTTGTGGGCACAGAGCTCATGGATGAGCTCGTCCAGCTCCTGCACATCCCCGGGCAAAGCAGAACCAGCCTCCACCTCGCTTTTGATTCGTTATTTGATCCAACCCCCGTGGCGCTCGACTCGGCCGTTCTGCCAGGGGGAGTTAGCGTCACAGACGTGATGCAGTACTCCCCGTTGCTCCAGGCCGCGAGCAAATCTCTCTTCGAACTCTGGGCCCCCGTCTGAGAGAAGAAAGTGAGGAGCGCCGAATGGCCTTATCCAGGCAGAGACAAAGGCGCGCCACACAAGAGAGGCCTTGGGTTCCTCGACCCGCGCACATATCTGCAGGTTGGATCCGTGATCGACAATATTGAGATAGGGCAGGACCTTGTCCTGATATGGAACATAAAACAAATCGACGCCCACGATGTGGTTAAAACGGAAAGTCCGCGGCATGGCAACTCTGCGATGACTGCTGGACCGAGCACGCTCGGCACACTCTGAGCACTTAAAGGAATCGCGGCCCCACCTCAGAATATGGACTTTGACTCCCCCGGCCCTCAGGACTCGCACGAATTTCCTATTGCACGGGTGCCCCATGTTAACATGCAGCCGAAACACCAGCCTCTTTTCGGTTTCCGATGGGTCCGGAAGGGGTTCGCTCACCTTGGCGCTGCTGGGAAGTCTGGTCTCGGGCACATCTTCGTCCTCACTTCCCTCCGGATCCTCTTCCTCGTGGCCCAAGCCTTCATCCCCTTCGGGAAAGTCTCCCTCCTCGTACTGGGCCCAAGTCACCGGCCGTGGTCGACGAGGTCCGCTCCATTCTTCTGTCACCGCGCGAGCCACGGCCTCCGCAAATGCCGGAGGATACTCTTGAGCAGAGGAGGTCCTGCTCTTACCCTCAAGCAGCACGTGTCTGTGATCCCCCGGACAG